CCCCAAAACCCCAAAACCCCAAAACCCCTTGCAACTATAATTCGATTACAAGTTGATAGATGATTATTATTTCAATATTAAATAAGCTTAATGAAAGACTAAAGCAAAGACGTGAAAATGACATCTGAAGTCCAAGTTGTTTTCAAGACCAACCTCCCAGAAGAGTTTTAAGCACCTGAAGTTCAAATTAGCATCGGCACTAGTTCAACTAATAAAGAACTTACTTAGGTATAATTTTCATTCAAAGAATAATTAATCTTTTAGATCTTGAAATAGCTATTGGCTGACAACGGAGATGTTGATATCAAAGGCAAGAAGTTCAACTTCATGGTCAATAATGTGTTCATTACTACTTCAGTTCAAGAGTATTCATCACATTCATTTAAATAATCTCAATATAGTATACTAGACAAGCAAAGCATATAAAATGAGGAGTTAATAGAGATATACTATCAATTCTCGCTAGAAAAGCCCAAGCCCACACACTCAATGCCATAAGAGGAATGGATCTCTACTATCAAATCGCTTTCTCATATTTTAAACGAGAAGGCCAAGACCTATGCAGTGGGATTCTTCAACGGTGATGTAAAGATTTTCAACAAAAAGGATCATAAGGAGTTGCTGAGCATTAAATAGTTGCATTAAGATTCAATTATTTAGGATGCTTTGTTCTTGAAAAATGATGCTCTGGACAAGAAGCTATTAGTCACATGCAGTACCTTGCCTAATTCAGAGTTAAGAGTATCGGAGATTATTGAAAGAGATAGAAAGTATCACTTTAATCAGATTGCTCAGAGCAAGCATGATGAGTATTCCAACATCAATGATGGTTTCAAGTGTCTAGGTTCTAATCCAATGAATAATGAGTTTATCTGTTCAGCTTATCAAACAAACGACTCTGCCCCTGAGAAGGCAATTTTGATTTGGAGATTAAACAAGCAACACTTGGAGGATTCATCTCAAAAGCAATTAAAGATGGGTGAAATGAAGAGACTTAAGACAAATATTACATATATTTCAGCTCATTAAAACATTACCTGCGGAGGTGGCATTCAGTCTATGAAGTGGGCTACACCCTCAAGAATTTATGTGGGATGCAGTGATCACTCAGTTAAGATTGTGAATGTTGAGCAGGCTTAGATCGAAGAAGTGCTCTTCACCACCTATAAAGTTCCTACTTGCATTGATTCTATCTAGGAAACTTTGCTTTTGACTGGTCATGAAGATGCCACAGTCAAGCTTTGGGATATAAGAACAGGTGTGGCTGAGAGGAAATACAAATCCCAGTATGAGAGTCACAAGAGCTGGATTTCTCAAGTTAAGGTCAATAGCAATGTCGAAAATGTATTCGTATCTGGATCGTATGACGGCACTGTTAAGATGTGGGATCTTAGAAATGAAGAGAGACCTCTAGCAACACTCAAGAGAAAGAATGAAGGTAATTCTGATGATTATAAAGTGTTTGCTTTGGAATGGAATGGAGCTTCTCAAATTCTAAGTGGTGGTTCTGATAGTCACATTTCAGTGCACTCACTTGCTTGAGTTCATAGATGAAAAATTTAATTAAAACTTATCTATTTATTTTAAAATTAAATTATTTATCTTAGCTTTTAATTATTGTCTTAAGGGGTTTTGGGGTTTTGGGGTTTTGCTT